CTGTAGTAGTAAAGAAGGTGAGAACTGGTCAGATTCAAGATCATTTTGGAGGTAACGATTATATGACTTGCTGGTAATGTGAATGAATATGAAAGAAGAATCAAAAATAGCTCCCAGGTTTTTGGTCTCGTGGTGGTTAATTCTATGTGTTAACTTGATTAGGTCACACAAGGTATCCAGATAATTGGTCAAACATTATTCTGGGTGTCTGTGAGGTTGCTTTGGGGTAAGATTAGCATTTCAATCAGTAGACTGAGTAAAGCAGATTGCTCTCCCTAATGAAGTGGCCCTCAGCCAATCAGCTGAAGGCCTGAATAGAACAAAAAGTTTACTCCTCCCTCCAGAGAGTGAGAACACCCCATGCCTGACTCCCTGGAGCTAGGACCTCTATCTTTTCCTGCCTTCAGACTCAAACTGAAACATCAGCTCCTTCTGGGTCTTGAACCTGCTAGCTTTCAAACAAGAACTTACACTTACTGGCTCTCTTGGTTCTCAGGCCTTCGGACATAGATTGGAACTAAACCATTAGCCCTCCTGGGTCTCCAGCTTGCTAACTGCAGATTTTGGGACTTCTCAGTCTCCATAATTGCTTGAGCCAATTCCTCATAATATTTCCTATTGGTTCTATTTCTCTGGAGAACCCTAACTAATACAAGTTTTAACTAGTAGTCATATAGCGTAAGCATTTCTGAGATGGAGAAGACAAAGGGAAGAGCAGATATGAACAAGTGGGAATAAAGGGGAGGAGCAATATTAATTCTCTTTTGGCCATGTTACTTATGAGATGCCTACTAAACTCCTAAGTGGAAATGTCAATTACACAGTTAAATATACAAGTCTATAGCTGAAGGGAAGAGTATGGACTAAGGACTTAGATTTGGGAATTATTAACAAATAGGCAATATTTAAATCTGTGGAAGTGAATAAAATCACCTAGAGATGTACTGTCCAATGTATAAATAATAGCCAGGAGTCACATGGGGCTATTTAAATTTAAGCTATTTAAAATCCAGTACTTCATTTACACTAGCCTCATTTCAAGTGCTCCACAGTCACAAATGGCTAGCAGATACCATATAGAACAGTAGATACAGATTATTCTCATCATCATAGAAGGTTCTATCAGACAGCGCAGACTCAAACAAGTTACCGAAAAAAAAGAAAGCCAAAGACAGAATTCTAGTAGAAGAAGTAAGGCAAATAAAACTAAAAAGAAACCACCAGTGAAGTGTTGTCAATGAAGCTTAAAGATAAAAAGTTTTCAGAAAAAGGGTGAATAACTTAATTAATTCAAATACTATTAAGAGATCAAGCTGGATAAGAAAAGGGAGCTGATTACTGGCTTTGACAAGACATAGATAATGAGTGACCTTGAAATGAGCCACTGCAGTAAAAATGGTGGAAACAAAACCTAAACAAATCATGCTGAGAAGGAGTAGGTGGGGGAAAAGAAGAGATACCAACTATAAACAATTTTTTAAAAAATTTTTGTTTTGAACAAGAAGGAGAAATGGGTGGTAGCTTAAAGGAAATGTAGGGTCAGGAGAGGTTTTCCTCCCCCCGAAATAGTCATACTGAGGCAGAATTATATGCCAATAGGAATAATAAAATAGAAAATGATGCAAAAGAGATGATAACTACAGGAGATAACTATAAGAGCAAAGCTCTAGAGATGGCCAGAGTATTTAAAATCCAGAGCTTAAATGACGGTTAGCCATAGATGAGATCAAGGCCAGTCTTACAAAATATAATGAAGGTTGAGACCCTACTGAGTATAGACAGAGCTAACTTTACATACATTCAGCCCTCCATATGGATGAGTTCAGCACTCATGGAATTAAATCAACCATGGATCAAAAACATTCAGAAAAAAATTAAAAATAACAATACAATAAAAATTACAAATTTAAAATACAATATAGCAACTATTTATACAGCATTTACATTGTATTAGAGATTACAAGTAATCTACAAATGATTTAAAGTATGCAGGAGGACGTGTAAGTTACATCCAAATTCTACACCATTTTTATTCTTGGGGTATTGGCACCAATCCCTCACAGATACTGAAGGACAACTTCACTTGGTGGTATAGGTAGCTCTCATCTGTTTACATCTATTTTCTGTATAAAGTAAGACTATAGGGTAAGAGTGACCAGGTAGATGTTGCAGGGTTTGTGTGTTTGTGACTTTCGGCTTTTTTATTTGGTCAGTTGGTTGGCTGGTTTCAGTTTGGTTAGATTTGATTGTTGGTTTTTGGTAGGAGGCAGGTATTAGTGATTTGAGGAGAAATACAGTAATAAACACCACGCTGACAGAGAAAAAGGTGAATTTACTGGGGAACTATA